TGGGAAAGTTAAGAGAGGGTCTAACAAAAATTAATGGTAATTGCTTCTTCGTTTCATGCCATTTCGGATAACGAGGAAAACCTGTAGTAATGTAGGTCTTTTCATGAATACGAAGTGGCGTAAATCGAAATTTTGAATACGCCACACACACACACACACACACACACACTCACACACACACACACACACACACAGAAAGAGAGAGAGAGAGAGAGAGAGAGAAAGAGAGAGAGAGAGAGAGAGAGAGAGACATAGAAGATTTGCTTTTATCATTTTATTATTTCAAGCTTTTCTAATCTTTATTGCATTTCTGTGTTGGCAAGTAGTTTGTAAAATACGCAACTGTTTTTTATTGCCCTGCCGCTCATTGCTGAGATCAATCTTTTGTTGTTCAGGCAACAAGATCATCATCATCATCATCATCATCATCATCATCATCATCATCACCATCACCATCCTCATTATCATCATCACCATCCTCATTATCATCATTATCACCATCATCATCAATATTATTATTTGTAGTCAGTGATTTTTCATACATAATTACTGGTGTATTTCACTAAAAATCCAGTGAGTGTAAGTTACCCCCACGTTTTCTTTTCTTTATCTTTTTTTTTTTTTTTACTAAAGTTCACCCAGTACAAGACATGAGAGTCACTGAAGGTAGAGTGTTATTGGATGTGTTGTGTGATATGAATTTAAAAGCGGGTAGTAGGAAGTGAAGATTATGAAGCTAATGAGGATAGATAACGATTGACCTTTGACTTGATGAGATTAAGATTGTACTGTTCTGGGAAGCATCTTCGCGGGAGTCTGTTCCACAATGTAGCAGTTCTTGGTTAAAAGCTGTCAATTGGAATACGGAGGAAATGAGGGCGATTCGACTCAATCACGCTCTTCGGTATTCTAACAAATTAGTTCCGTTTCTTCTACGGATTTCTAAATCTTCCAGTCTCTTCGAAAAAAATCTCATTGGAACTGTTCCGTTTACACCAATAATGATAGTCACGATTATTTTAGGTTTCTCAACGTTCAGGTTTCCGGCAATATTCAGATATTTTTTCCAGATTTTCCCTTTCATTCAATTTTACTCTGGGAAGCGTAATAACAGAAAATGTGGCACCGAAATCCGAAGGCGCATTGGCATAGCGAAAGATGCCTTCTAAATCTAAGCGAAGTATTAAGAGACAGGGAAATTCTATGAGAAACAAACCAAAGAGTGTCGAAGTTCTATGTAATATCAATCCTCTTATATGGCAAAGAATGTTGGACATTTTGCTCACAGATGAAGAGAAGACTTCAAGCAAAGAAATTTGGTTCTACAGAATGCCATGGACGAAGTTTTAATGGAAATGGAAAAAAATGGCACTTAGAAAGAAACAGTTGAAATTTCTGGTACGCATAATGAGGAAAGACAACTTGGAAAATTTGACAACCACAGGACATATTGAAGGCAAGCGAGGCAGTGGGAAACGGTAAATAACTTGCTTAATAAGCTTGCGTAAATGGATAGCAGGACAATGAGTGGGAGGGATAGTAAAAAGATAAAACTTCTAAGAGCTATAAAGAATAGGAAGTTGTGGAGAGGCATGATCACGCACGTCCTGAAGGGGCACGGTACATGGAAAAAGAAGTCTTTTGGAACAGGGAACTTTACTTAAACTTATTAAAAAATTTTAATTAATTTTTAACTTAGTTAACTCCACCCTTTATTTATATGCAAATAATCCGTACTAATCTGCACGGGAGCACTAATTTATATGCAAATAGACAAGGAACTAAGCGAGTATGCTAACATAGAAAGAAGAGTACAACAGACAGGTTTTTTCTGGCCGGATTTATTTAATCTGTAAAGTGAGATGACCCTAAGAGAATTCGAGGGTCTACCCTTAACTCCGGTGGAATAATGGATAGCGGCTCGGATTGAGCTGAGTTCGAATTCGAGTCGAATCCATTACGTGCTAATACCCTTGGGAAAGGTATAAATCCTCTTATTCTGAAGCTATGGATAAGTAAACTTGGATGGCAACTGGTCTACCGCAGAAAGAAATGACAATCTACTGCGGGAAAAATCGTCATGTAGACGTCTGCCTCGTCAGTCGTGTATCGAAAGATACATGATCGCCTAAGCGTGTATCACGTATGGCACATAACTGACTGACCCATAACAACATATATTAATCAGAGTGTTGATGGCACATTATGAGGAATACTGAAAGACCTAGTCCTAGGAGAAAAGGAAGGACTGACCATTAATCATATGAAGACGGAATGTACAGTCGTGAGCAAAAGGGACAGTTAATGACTTGAATTACACATCGGGTATGTCAAAGTTGTAGAAATTCATCTACTTGGACAGACGACGGAAAATGTGATGCGGAAATTCGATGATGCATAGGAATAACGAAAGAAACTTTTCAGAATACTATGAAGTTGAAAATAACGTTAAGACCTTAAGAAAATGGCACTGGATTGCATTTTAATGTCTCCATTGCAGCATCGAAAACTGGGCAATTTCGTTAAAAAAGAAAAATATTAATGGAAGTAACTGAGATGTGGATTTTAAAAAAGATAAAAATACAATGAACGGAGTTTGTGAAAAACAAAAGTTTTTAAGAATATAACTAAGCAGTATTTTTGCATATAACAATCAGAAAGGAACAATGCATAAGGAAGAAAGAAGGCTTGGAGAATTTAACACGCAGCAGACATATCAAATGCGAAAGAAGCATAGAAAACAACGAATTAACATGCTTGAGAAAAAAAAAGCTGTAGATAGCCATGAAAGGATATAGCACAGCGAGAGAGAGAGACAGACAGACAGAGAGACAGAGAGAGACAGACAGACAAAGACAGAGAGACAGACAAAGGCATACAGACAGAGACAGAGATTTATTCTACGATTAAGTTTGGCGATATGACTCATTGCAATGAAATTGCATTGAAATATCCGTGAATTTTTTCTTCCCTTTTTTTCCTTTCTCGTTTTGCTGTTTTCGCTTTTTCCATTTGTCTTGTACATTCTTTTCGGAGATGCAAATATTTAAGTAAATGCTCTGTTTATAATAAACAGTATTAATAACATTTATCTGCCTGAATGTCCGAGAAATTTTCACAGAAAATATTCGTCCTCCGACAGGAATCGAACCTGTATCCTATACGGAACTGTCATATAGCCTAACGTGCCTTAATCGATTGAGCAACGGAGGATCGTTCGGTTAGCAATGTCGATTTTACTGCTTTTAAACTACAATCTTCCATGAATCTCTCACGTACATTCATATCTACTCATTCATATCAGGCCCGTAAACAGGTCTCTATTTAGTTTTTTATATGCCGGCTGTAACACCAGAATTGTCCAAATCATGTAACAGCATAATTGTCCATTCCACAAAATGTTTAATATCTAAAAAAGCACTAAACTAATTGAGTTTCTTTTTTTCCAGGTTTTCACATAAGCCATCTTGACACCATTTGTCGTAAGAATTACTGAAAAACCCTTTCAGCTATTCAGCTAGAAAGAGAACAAGTTAAAATCGTTTGGTGTTAGCTCTACTGTATTCCCAACTGAACAATGATGAGACGAAAAAAGTCATTCAGGCCTTCAGTAATGGTACTAGCATTCATAGTCTGGCTTCCATTTTCAAAGTCCATTCAAGAACCATCAAGAGAACGGCGAATAAGTTGAACAAAAAGGGAACGGTAGAGAGGAAAACTGGATCAGGAGGTCAAAACAGGAAGAGGGATCATCATTTCAACTTAGAGCTAAAAAGATCAATTAGAAAAGATCCAACTCATTCCATAAGGCGTTTAACACATAAGAAATGAGTTTCAGCAATGACAGTCCAAAGAGCAGTGAAAAAAGTCTTGAAAATGAAATCGAGCGTGAAACCTGTGAAGTACGTTGTTACTCCAGGAGAGACGGTTAGAAAGTTAGAGAGGGCGAAGATAATGGTGAATAAGTTGGAAAATGATCCTGAATAATATATGTATATATATATATATATATATTTGAAGTTTATTTCAATCCTTCATGAGCTTCCGATCCTTAGATATGATTAATTAATGATGAACATGTCATTTTCGTTTATGATCGCTTTATCACGATATTTCTTTTAAGCTTGGAGAGTAATTATACATTCATATTACTCAAAGTAGAGTCCATTAGTGTTATAAAAACCTGGGAGAATTCCAGTAAGATATCTTTAATCATTTCTAAGATACGACGGTTCAGAGCTTAATCTATCAATTCGACAATTTTGCTGTTACACCCAGGAGAAACAAACATTTCTCAATACAAAAAGAAAAATATATACTTATTTCGAAGTTTATATTTCCAAGTGACAGGGCTCACTAGTCACTGCAAGAAACCCAGTCCGTAGTCGCCATTGTTGCAAAGTGCGCGTCTCTCGAATTGATGTGCAATTTGAGAGGTGACAAGAGCGCATCTCTTGTTTGCAGTTTTTGATTTTTGTCTCCAGTTACTTCCTGACACCAATTTTAATCGGGAATCAGTCACGTCTTGCTGAGGCGTGACTGTCTTGCAGTTACTCAGTCTCAACCAAGAGACCCACCCAAATCACTGGTAATGTGGGTGAAGCACTATAAGGGATTTTCGAATGGTTTCATGATCAAATGAAATAAAAAAAAACAAAAAACACTCGCCATTGGGTTGTGGTTAACAAGCTGGTTCAACAGACCATTACGAATGACTGGAATTCATATTCTCACTGGGTGCCCTATTAAAAATACTGTCATAAATATTGGGAGCACTTCGACTTGGTATAATGGTTAGTAATGGTGCTCCATACATTCGGCCTTGTGCCACATCTAAGTCACGTTTAGAAAATCACAATAAATGTTAGAAAATTGTGCACCAGCCAAACATCAAGCAGATTGTTTAAAATCGAAGAAAGCAAGGGAAAATATTTCGATGCTTGAATAATGACGCTATGAATTTATGTAGATGAAAAAAAAAGCGCTGTCAAACATTTTAGAAACTTTCTTTCTTTCTTTCTATCTATCTATCTATCTATCTATCTATCTATCTATCTATCTATCTATCTATAATTTTGTGAGTAATGACACTATGAATTTATCTAGATGAAAAAAAGCCCTGTCAAACATTTTGAAAACTTTCTTTCTTTCTTTCTTTCTTGTTTGAGTAAGGACACTATGAATTTATGTAGATGAACAAAAAACTTGCTGTGAAAAATTTTGGAAACTTTTTCGTGGAGGTCGTCGAAAACCAGCGAAAATACTTTGATATCTAAATAATGATACTATGAAATTATTTAGATGAATAAAAAAATTGTTGCCGAAAATGCTGAAAACTTTTGCGTCAACTTCGTAGAAAATCGAGGAAATGACTTCGACATCGGAATAATGACGCCGTGAATTAATACATATATAAAGTTACCATAAAAAATTCTGGAAACACTTTGCATCAGCCATATAACAAATTTATTTGAATAAAATATTTTGTTAAAAGATTGTTGGAAACTTTTGCAATAAGTTTAACATTTTTCTCGGTAATTTTGTGCGGATCTACACGAGTGCATCTGCATTTCCATTCCTCCTCTCACCCTGAATACCATATTGGTTGGTCCCACCCGGGTGTTGTCGTCATAAAAAAGTATTGGTTTCCGTAACGATGAATGACTTTGGGAGTTTTCAGTTATTCAATTTCCAGTTATTGGGGAATGAAAGATTCAACTCGCGTGGATCAACGTGTTTAAGTGAAAACAAAAACAAAAGGAAAAAAAAAAGAAAAAAAAAAGATGAGTATTTTGTTTTTACAAAGCAGAACTTGTCATACATATTTGTGGTTTGTTTTGTCCGTCATGCAGCGAAGAGCAACGCCCCGAAAGGAGATATCTCGTCTCATCTGAAAGAATTCAAGACAAGTTGACGTCCAGAAAGACAACGCCAATGTTGGCACAAAGGTACATTTCTAGAACGCTCGGCGAAGATCAAATTCACTCTCACTGTTTTTGAGAACTAGCACGCTTTTCACTGTGCCAACCTCACTATGAAATACATCGAAATCTTACGTATATCTATCTATCTATCTATTTATCTAGTTTTTATCGACGGATATAGATATACAGATATCTATCTCTCTATGCGAAAGGTACATCCTTAAATGACGCAGTTATTAGCTAATTTTTTATTTGAACATTTCACTATACATTGTTCTATGCGATCTATGAAAACGTATTTGTTTAACTGCTATCTGTCTATATCCATGGGATGGGGTATTATGATTATTTACATTATTTACATTATTCGGACTGTTATTCTTATCTTCATTGTCATTCACAACGTTTCGGCCGTTGTACGCTCCGGCCTTTTGATTGGAATTTCGAACCGCACCCTTTATTTCGTCCACCAGGGTAGATTATTCTAGTTCTACATGCCATACCTCTTCTGGATGCCTCAGTTATTTCCCTTTAACCCAACTCTCCAAGTTTTTTTTTTGTTTGTTCACCACTGCTGTAGCATGGTATTGAACTCCCAAGTCTTTATGTCTAGTCACTGGATCTAACCAATGTCTTTATCCACTGAACATTTGTCCTTGAGGCCGAAACCGTGTGAATGAAGATGAGGATAACAACCCGAATAATGTAAAGTGTTTGATTGCATTGTCAAAGAAGGAAATTATGTTTAAAAAATAAATATTAGTGGTTTAAAATAAATAATTTTTCATCATTACGACACGGATTCGCTGACAAACATACGTGACGTTATAGTGCTTTAATTCTTGACCACCGACAATCCCTCTCAGTGCAAGCATATGTCTTTTGAGGAAAAAGACACATTTATTTTGTGTAGAAAACAATTCAAGATAAACAAAGGAGTGCTGAAGTAGTAGTAAAGTCGGTGGGCAGCAATTAGAAGAGCCGAATCTTTTCTTACATCTACAGGTTCAAATGCAACTGGGTCAGAACAAAAACATTATTATTGCTTCATTGCCTCACCCCAACTCACAGGCCGAAATATCTGTGCTGTCTACGAGACCTGTTCGGAAAGTACGTAGCCATTTAAAAACAATCTTGAGAACCGGTTGCATGACCTTCATAAAATGTGGTTTACAACCGGAAGGGACCTTATTGCGCATGAATGAATGGAAATTCTTCTATAGAATTACTCCTTTGACAATGGGAAATTAATTACGTCCCATCGTGCAATGGTTATTGGCAACGCCTCATACAGGATTTTTTTGTATCATCAAGGTCCATCGGCACCTCTCTATTATTCAGACTTGGGTCCCCGCTACTTCTGGCTATCACAGTTGAGTTTTGCGATCGTGGATGAGATTAAGGAGAGCGTAGCGAAGGAGTTGCGGAAGATGCCTAAAGTGAATTTGGCGGATTATTTTGAAAAGAGATGCTAATTTAAGCAAGTCAGGTTTCACAATATATATATTGTTTTCAGAATATTAAATCACGCAAACTTGTACGACAAGCATATGTCTAAACCTTACTATTTAACTAAAAAATCGATATAATCAGAGCCTGGGAACTGATCTCGCCTCTGCCCGAGCTCTAACAGCTCAATGGGGAAAACTGGTTTGTAAACAGTCAATATCTGCAAAACCAAGTTAGTAACATTCCGTCATCATCGAGCAAATCCTGGATTTTTTCCAGTCATGATGAACGTTTGTATTCACAATAAGGCTCCTTACTTTGAACATCTATAATGACTCAAGTACACTCCAGACCCCGTGGAACTCATGTATATAATACATCCGTAAATATACTGGAAAAATAGACGGTTCTTTCTACTTCTCCAGAAAGTACCTGACACTTCCTGTTATGAGATTATGCTATCATATTGCTGCCATATATGGGTTGGAGCTACGAAATCCTTACGCTTCAGCTTTGACAGTAGAGTAGACATATTTCCAATCGTAGAATTCCTTTCCCACAAACGAAACGTCGTAAGCCTCTTGCTACTCTATCACTATTTCCATGGAAAATGTTCTCACCAGTTCTGACCTCCACAGTTAGAACCTACCACTTCTACAGAGTCGAACCATTCTCATTTTCTTCCTATTTCATTTGTGAGATGAAAGTTCCACTCAGACAGTTCATTCTCCATAGCACTGTGGAACGAATTTCCAAGAGGATGCTTCCCCGATCATTACCATCTTAACCTCTTTAAGTCAGCGCTCAAACGTTATCTACCCTACATGTCCTTGCAATCTGCACTTACTTCTTTCTGTTGTGTCCATACAACAATCTCATTTAGTCACCCTCTACCTTGAGTGGTTCTTGGGCCTTGTACTAGGTAAACATTTAGTAAAAACACTTGGACTCGACTTGGAAGCTGCAATTTACAGTACGCAAGTGCGGATAGTCTAGCGGTTAAAAGTACAAAAATAGAATCGGCAAGACGAGTTCAAATCCCGATTGAGATCGTTTGTGTTCACTTTACACTGAGCTACGGGTAAAATAACGGGTAAATAGTCTTGATTGGTAATAAATCTAGGACAAATACAAAGCCATTCTTCCTCATCACTTATAGATAACAATAACAAAAGTTGAGGGTACGGTTAGGAATTTCGCTTTGTAAAAAAAAAACAAAAAACAAGTGTGATACTGTTGTTGTCGGACGATAAAATATGACCGGCAATTACCGTGGCCTTGGAAGACGCCCACAACAGATCGTTCTGTAATTTGATTGGTAGATGGCGACATAATTTGGAAAGCCTGTATTCTCGCGTCTTAACCCAAGTTATTTTTAGTTTTTATCGACTATTTATTCGTGGGAGTTTGGAACTGTTTCGAGTGAAAACAAACATTCAACATGGCGTCTATAAAAGCATATGATAATTCAAGCGACGAAAATGATGCTTTTGATGAAATTTCTTTTGAAAAAACATTGATATATTAAGTAGTGACGATGGCAGAGAGGAGTTTTAGGAAGGAGAAGTAATTGCTTTATTAATTAATACAATTAACAATATTGATTTTTTATTTGAACATATGGGTTGGAGCTACCCAGTCCTTACGTTTAATGACTTTTGAATAAAATTATATGTATAAAATCATATGTAATACTTTAATCATTTCACCCCAAGCAAAGTGGGAATACCATTGATACGCAGGGAGTTACATGGAGTGAAAATGGAAGAGAAGACTGAGAATAGAGAGGATTAAGAAAAGGACAAAAGATGAACGAGTTTCAAGAAAGCAGAAGATGGCGATTGACGTTATATTGAAATTTTTGAAGATTGTATTTATCAGGGAAGAAAGGAAACGGAAGGAGTTCCACTGGTGGAAGTGCAAGAAAATAAACTGTTGGAGTAGAATTGGCTGTCACATTTAGCTATTTCAACAGTACAACGGATGGATTTAGTTGCCACTCTAGTAGCACGCTTAAATTCATATAAGTCGGGGCATCAGGGGGGAAAAGCTCGTCAAAGCAGTTGACATGAAAATATTTGTAGAAATTATCACTATTTCTGTGACCAATTAGAAAACCATAAATTGAATTGAATTACACAATTGCATAGAAGCTTTTGTTTACATGTGTCAATTAAGTGCCATACGTAATACACGTTTAGGAGATTATATCTCTTTCGATTCATGACTGACTAGACAGAAGATATTCCCGCAGTAGGTGGGCATTTCTTTCTGCTATAGGCAGGTTGCCAAACAAGGTTATAGAACCTGGTCTGTCCTACTATTAAACTCATCTCGGGGGGGGGGCAGGAGATGGATATATACCTTTCCCAAGGGTATTTACGCTCTCCAAATCCTCATTCCGAGCCGTTAGCCACGACGCCACAATTTATGTTTTCATTAATTAGAACAATATCGACCGATAAAAAAATGATTTTATTGAATTATAAGGTGACAAAATATGTGTTTTATAAAGGCTGCTTACAGTCGTGCCAAAAGCATTGGTTTTCGTTCGATCATTTCAGTTAAGCATTTGAGAAATCGGAGAGCCGAGTTCGAATTCCAGTTGAATCTATTGCATTTACGTGCTAATAGTCTTGGGAAAGGTATGAATCCTTTTCTTCTCTCCCCCAGCTATAGGTAAATAGCAGGATAGACCGGGTTCTGTA